CAGTTGTTTAGTCAACTTTAACAGTCGTAACTAATTAAAAAACATATAATCGTCTCATCCTGAAAGTAGCCAATCATAAGTCCGTCTGGTGACATGCTTTCCATTAAAAATCAATGTCTCATTAAGTTTTTGTTAGTCTTACTGATGGATAATTTGACGAATTCTCCTAACAAAATGCGTTTCAATTAGGCTAACAACAATTTAGAAAGACATTGTGAAACAGGCCCTTAAACAAATCTATATTAAACTGTCAAACACCAAGCGGTCACCGGTGACCGCAACCTATTGTTCTTTAATTGTGTCTATAAATACGGTACTCGACGAGTTAAGTACTTAAGCATTAATTCTGACTCAAAAGTGTCTCTAACCAGAATCAAAAATTATGTGATTCGAATAGGTAATTTGACTCAGACCTATCATACCAGTAAAACGGGAATAGCATAATAAATGCATGATAAATGCAGAGACAAAAAATTAACTATCTATAAAAGTAAAAAACCCATCAAAACATATTCTATTGTTAAAATTATTGAAGGACTTATGAGCACTGATCTATCCTCCTTTGATAAATACGATTGATGCGCTAAAGTTCGATATGAAAACTAATAATATTCACGTTTGGATTGAATTCGGCGCATGGGCGTGATTCAGCCGACCCTCGGAGTCCGTCTGGCTAATCTAGCAGAGGGTCTGAACGCAGTACATGGCAAATAAACAGATTCTGATAACACCCGAATACGCACAATAATTCCGTTCATGATTAGTAAAGTATGGAGTTTTTATCATATTTTGGTTTTATTTATTTTTGTTGATTTTATTATTATTACCCATATGAATTACGATACCTATGAAATGTATGACTAAGGCGTCCTACACAACATAAATATTATAAGTTGTTAGTTATAAAGTAAAAACATATTGTTGAATTGTAATATAATATTATTATGTATTTGTATACTCATAATAAATCTCTAGAGAAGTCAATTCTGTACATGAAATATATTTCTAAAATCTAAATGTACCAAAATTGCAATCAGTAATTTTTTTGTCTGTCTGTTCTTAATAGAAACAAAAACCACTCGATGGATTTTAACGAAACTTGGTACAATTATTTTTCATACTCCTGGGGAGGTTTAAGTATACTTTAATCACGCTACAATCAATATAAATAAATAGCAGTGAAGAGAAATGTTGGAAAAATGGGAGAAGTTACTTCATTTTTTAAGCTTCCGTCGCATGTGCAGCCTTGACAGTTAAAGCTATATAGAAGTCATGTATGACGGAAATGTTTCACATAAAATTATCTGAAAAATATCCCACAAAAGCATACGTCTATCTATCATGGTTGACTCTCAATAACAAGTGTAAGTCCCGATGGCTTAACAGTTCGGAGCTTTCTGCTTATATTTGTTTACTCTTACGTTTATAATACTGTCATTACCAATAATTTAAAAAGGTTCACATTATTACCTATTCAATAAAAAATACTATTATAAATCGGTATAGAAGCACCAAACTTATACATGAAATACGCTAATAAGCCATCGCGTCCGTCGCGCGTGAATACTTAATCATGCAATGCAATAAGGATTATTTTTGTGTAACGGTTACCGCGCTTGACGCGGGTCGCGACGGTAGGGTATAATGGTCTGGAATAACACAGACTTTTACCTCTGGGAAAGCGGCGAAGCCGATGGCAAAAGTTTGTAAGTAATAATAACATTCAAAATGGTATGTTGATTAAAACTATAACACGATGCATGCTAAACAGTGTATGAGTCATGAGTACCTGAAGTTTTAATTTTTTTTTCGTAAATAGGTACCTATCGCCTCGCAATGCTAACACCGTAAAGTCAATAAGTAAATGCAATGTTTTTATACACATAAGTAGGTAAATAATCACGCGGTTTAAGGCACGTAGACACCTCCTAATGTCATACAATAATAATGTGTTTTAAACCACAGGAAAGTTACGAATACAAACTTGATTAAGGAAAAAACATTCGCTTCTGACATTTTTACCAGTACTAGGGTAAAAAGTTCCACTCAAATTCTTTTTCATGGTCAATTTAAAATATAATACAGTTGTCGGCATCGAATAGGCCCTTGCAAATCTAATTTGCGCCTCTTTGCGCTCATAATAGAGGGCAGGCACTACACACTTACGAAGGCCAACTTTTAAGAGATGGAACTTTGACCTCTTTTAATGTCGTACGCGAAATTGGTGACCACGAAGTCCAGGGACCAGTACCCGATTGAAAAAACCTACTAATGGATTTTCAAATTTAAATACTAGCGTCATAAGCATTTTGCACATAGAAAATTTTCCTAAAGGTACATACGTAATAACCGATATTTTTTTAATTAGCTATGTAATGTTAATAATTTTGTTATTTATTTGTTTGATGACCATAAGTGGGCGGAAGACATAAAGTGAGTGCATCAATAACTATCCATTTATTTATTTTTTTAAAAAAGGTAGCCCTATGCAGAGACTCTCCTCAAACGCTACTAAATTTTAATTCAATTCAATCCTCCGAAATTCAAACGCTACTCAATTTTAATTCAATTCAAGTTCATTTTAAGTATAATTTTGTCACTACATCTTCTTTGTAAAATTACAGAGATGGCACTACATTTAAGTACAAGTTAAAATCTAGTAGCCTTTCAGTATTCGGGCCCTAGATCTGGTAACATCTGAGATCTGTGATCTGGAACAGTAATTGGTGGATCACACAAAGAATTATCGCCATCTGCAGCACTAATCGAGTGTTCATAACCAATTGCGTATTAATACTTTTAATCAGAAATTATTATCTTAGAATTATAAGTACCCAGGCTTATAATACCTTCACGGGTATGGAACCAGAACCAGGCCCGAACGTACGGCGCGTCCTGTCCGGACCCAATAGGGCTGAAGCCGATACGAAGCCGTGGAGGACTTAACGGGTTCCCGGGGCTCCGGCTCGAAGTGCAGGACTTGGAACGGGGTGGATTTTAGTCAGTAAGAGTCTGACAAGCTTGCCTCACCCAGGCGAGAGAAGTCGTCGGATGATTTTCCCCCCTCAAAAAAAAGGCTAATAATACCTTTGCCACATGAAGAGTTCAAAGTTCAAGTATGTTACGTTACAAATATCTTCAATAATTATATACAACAATACCTAACTATGCTGTTAGATTTTAGTTTTAGATGTTTTTTCCTCAAATGCTACGTTTAAGATTAAATAGACCTACCTACTTTTTATTATAAGTATAGAAACATTGTGAATCGGGATTTCCAACAATATCATACCGAACTTTCCAGCGATATAGTTCATACATACAGGATGTTTCATACGTATATAGTCTGAATAACTTTGCTCAATTTAAATTACTTTTCGAATGAATAGGTTGCTTACAGGTAGGCGTCTTCCTTCGTCGGTCACATTATATAGGTTAGAGGACGAATTACAGGCCTGGCTGACCAAGTAAAAAAAAATATAAAAGATGAAAATAAATATGAGGCCCTCTATGGCCTAAATATTATTATTAAGTCCTAAATGTAGAAGATAATATTAGTCCTAAGCTTCATGCACACGTACACCGAGGCACAGTTTTCACAAAATCAATATTAGACCCATGATGTTTCTGAAAATATCATAAACTAGCTTCTGCCCGCGACTTCGTACGCTCAATCCCATTTTCCCCCGTTCCAAAAAAATTGGTTAAAAAGTATCCTATGTCGGTCTCCTGGCTCTAAGCTACCTCCCTACCAACTTTCAGCCACATCTATTCTATCGTTCTTGAGTTATAAGTGGTGTAACTAACACGACTTTCTGTTATATATATAGACTAGCTTCTGCCCGCGACTTCGTACGCGTACCATCCCATTTTTTCCCGTCCCCGTTCGTGATTTTCGGAAAAAAGTAAAAAAAAATGTTGGTTAAAAAGTATCCTATGTCGGTCTCTAAACTACCTCCCTACCAATTATCAGCCAAATCTATTCTGCCGTTCTTGAGTTATAAGTAGTGTAACTAACACGGCTTTCTTTTATATATATAGATAACAAAATAAAGCATAGTTCTATTTCTGATCAATTCAAAATAAACTGAGTAACTAGGTATCCTCAAGCCACAAGGCTATTATAACTACGCGTTTTTTGATATCCTAAATTAATTTAGTACATATTGAAATTTAAAGATACTACTAAATGCTCTTTACTAAATTATACAAAATAGATGTAATATTCGCTCATTAACTATTCTTTATTCCGAACACATTGTTAAAGTACTCGTATATAATTTCTTTAAGTAGGTACTCGTCGCGTTACTAGTCATGTCTATGAGTTCATTGACTCCAATTTTTGGCAATACGTAGCTGTTTTTAGGGACCTGTAAATTATTAAATGTAGTTGTTTGGCATATATTACTTACCTATATGGATTATATCTGTTTGGTTTTAAGTCTCTGTAAATACCTCTTTGTTTAGTGAATCATTGGTTTAGTAGGTTTACGACGTTTTTGCATTCTCGTTATTTATTTATTGCAAATATTTATTTAGGTATCCACCTTTAAACCTGGGAATGTTCTTACCTACTTTGCATAAGAATTTAAATACCTTCACAATGTATTTTCAACTTCATCTCATTAGAACTCTGAACACGTACAGAACCTTACAACTAGGACCTACTTACTCTGTTTTACCTTTTTGTAAAAAAAAATAACATTATAGTAATCATTGAGCAATTTGTACACTACCAGACTCAATAGTCAAAAAGTATTGCGAATCAAAAGCACGTGATCGAATTTGTAGCAACAAAATAATTACATGCTGTGAGATAAAATTAGTGATTCAAATATATATACCCATATGTATTTGCCCTCTTCCAGTTAGTTATATAATGAGGTTAATGTCGGTTCACGATACGCATTGAACTTGTATCTTCATAGTGTCCGTCAGTGTGTAAATTAATTAGAGTGGGTCGCCTCATTATATCGTGTGCTCTATAATTTTTACCAAAAATGTTTCGGAAATATTTATTTGTTCTTACTGTGGTGCTTCAAATATGTTTAAGTTATAGTGCTGTGGTTAAGGTAAGGGATTTTATGTGATATTTTTTCTTTTTATTGAAATAATGAATTTTCGATTGGTTGTGTTGTCGAAGTGTTGATTTAGAGTCTTGGTAAGCCTGAACGAAAAGTCCCTAAAACAATAGCCAATAAAAAAGAATCGAATACTTTTAAATACAATATTTTGTTCATTTATTCTTAACCCCTAATATGTTTTTTGGAACTATAATAAATGATAACTATAACCTCGCTTAGTAGTCATACTTCTCAATTCACATGTTAATTTATCTAAAAACGAGTATTGTTCGGAAGATAGAATCGTAACTATCTTCGAACGTTTTATCTACGAACCAAATATTTATTCGTAGCTTACATGATAAATATCTCGACATAGAAACTAAACTAAACTTAAGAAGACACAAAAAACATCAATATTTTGAAACATTCTTTGACATTGAAGAATGTAATAGGAAGACTACGAAACTTTCCGTATTTATCTCATACAATTGAGTTTAACTTAACACTCAGTACACATTGATTTGTAACTACACCATTACCATTTTCAAAATAAAAAATGTTTTATATGTCTAAATTAGATATTATGTATTAACAGATTATTGCGTGTATCGTGCATCTAAATATCAGCTGATATACCTAACTAAGTAGGTACCTATATATAACTTTGCAATAAGTATAAATAATAAATTTGAACACTTAATGGCAGTCTCAAGTGTATAGATAAGTCTGCATCAAGATGACTCTGGATTTTGCTGTATTATAAATACTTTCGTTTTGATAACAGACGATAAGTGCGAAAACTAAAACATCATTGGGGCGCTTGCGTCGTTTAGTCACCAGTTTGTTAGTCGCCGTTGTCTGGTCGAAGTTGTCGAAGAGCCACAGTAAAATATACTCATCCACAGACATGACATTTCGTTTTGATAAAAAAACGTGTGACTGTGTGACGTTATTTATCTCAGAGAACTTATCGAAATAAATTAAGATTAAATGTCAATAGAACATAAAGTGAACGAAAACAGCGAACTGTGGCCTATTAGTGTAACAAATAAAAATTATCATGGTAAGATCACGATGTTTTTGTGCATTCATATATTTTAATAACTATGTAATTTTGTATGTTACTACGTAAATTATTAAGGTTCACCTAACTTATTTAATAAATTAATTTCACTTAATAACCAGCTAATAGAAGCAAACAATACACTCGTGACACTAACGTGTTCGTTTACGGAGTGTGTTATTATTATTATTTATGTCTAAAACAACTCTTGATTGACAATAATAGAACTCTAAAAATAAATTACATATTGTTCTCTTCTATCCTTACGATTGTATTGTCTTTTTACTAAGCTACATGGATATAAATTTTATGTTTATATGAGTTTAAGTATGAAAAATTTTCTCTATTATTTTATTCGAATACTTTTACTTAATTTACAATAGTGTTCCTATTTGTTTACTCACACTTAATTTCTTTATTAAAAAAGGTCGTTATTTATTGAGCACTAGCTTCAGCCAGCAGCTTCGCCCGCGTTCTCGTAGAATAAAAAGTAGGTAGCCTATGTGTTATTCTAGACCATTATCGACACCTGTTCCAAATTTCATCCCGATCCTTTCAGCCCTTTTGATATGAAGCAGCAACAAAACAAACAAACATACAAACTTTCGCATTTATAATATTATATAATTTTTATTATTTCAGACAAAACATGTTTGTGTGGTCGGTGCTGGTATAGCAGGGATCTCTGCAGCCAGATATTTGAAGGAAGAAGGGATTGACTTCACGGTCTATGAGTCTACTCAATATGTCGGTGGTACGTGGAGGTTCGACCCTCGAGTGGGTACAGACGAGAACGGTTTACCTCTACACACCAGTATGTACAAAAACTTAAGGTAAGACCGACAACTATGTTGATCATATTAATTAAACAAGCAGTATTTCTAAAACTTTATAGGCACCTGATATTTGTTTCCGTAATATCTTTTTCAAAGTCGGCACCAACATTTCGAAAACCAATAGCACGGTCCTCATTATTATTGTCAAATCTAGGACAACGGAATCTATTGTTTGTATTATAGTTAGGACATAAAAAGAAATGCACATATGTACTTACAATTCCTACAATAGATCAAGGATGTCCTTTTTCGCGGTTTGGTGCATTTACAAAGAACGATATAGAGACTTTTATCAAGCATCAAATACTTAGTGCTTATTCATAGTGCATAATAAAAAATATTGCGATTTCCAATGTAAATAACTTCCACTGACTTTACAATGATACCTGTTTAATAATATTATCAATCAAAATAAGCCAAACACTTGAACAATACCGTGTTGATTTGCTTCTTACCAAAACAAACAGATGGCGCGCTATCAAGTTTGCACAGTCATTAAGTTAGTGGCTTCTAGAACGCGGTGTGTTTAAAATAATAAGATAATGTGGCGATAAATACTTGTATATTATGAGATAATATACATATATACTGTAATGATTCGTTTTAGTTTAGCTACTTACATTGTATGAATTACTTCCAAATGGTTACGTAAAAATGTTGTAGCAATCAAAACATTCAACGTATGTGAGTGGTAGGTATGTGGTCTATTCGCCTCTAATAATAAATTATTTACGTATGTCTCGCAATGCCAGTGGATTATTTTCTTGAACAGTTGAAGTGACATGTAGCTTATTGAAATACATATGAAATGTACCTGCCTCCTGTTTATACGAAAGGGTTCCATTATGTACCTAGCAGAAAATAACTGGAAAAAAATAGAGAATACCTTTTTAAAGCAATACAAAAAAAAACAAATACAAAATAGTCAATATACCGTTGTTTTCTACTAAGAAATAGAACTCTAAAAAGACACACTGTATTGTAGGCTAATAAAATCTAAGTCTACGTCGCTCAAGCAGGTCAACGTTGTCGGATAAAGTAACTTAAATATAAACCCTTGGACTGCTAACAGGATATTGTTGAAGGCAAATCTTTTGTCAACTCCGTTTAATTTTGACCCCATAGCTTTATAAACCAACTACTCTTATTTCAGAACAAATCTACCGAAACCTACAATGGAACTCAGAGGGTTTCCGTTACCTGAACATCTTCCATCATTCCCCAGTTGGCGAGACTACTACCAGTACTTGCAAGATTATTCTAAACACTTCAATATACTCGATCATATTAAGGTAGGTGATTAGCAAAATTTCTACAGGCCGTTAATTTTAAAGTACCTAATAATATTAAATGATTTATTCATACATTTATCCACTGGTCTCCAATATTAAACCATCATGATCACCATGTCCTCACACTGTTCGAAGATGTCACTGTCAGCTCTTTACAATGCCTTTCATAAATGTCCTATATGATATAAACTTTCATTCTGAGTCTGAGTTGTGGATCTGATTATACATTTATTAAAGTACTCAGGATATTGTAATGTTTTCTCCACAATTGCAGTTCCTACACAATGTACTCCTAATTAGAAGAGTCGGAGACGTGTGGCGAGTCAAACATCAACACGTTCAAACAAACGAAACGTTTGAAGATGAATACGATTATATTATCATAGGAAATGGACATTTCAGCAAACCAAATATGCCTAATATACCTGGAGAAGACCGTTTTAAAGGTAACTTTATTAGTTTAATTTCCCCAAATGCATTTTAATTAAATGATAAAAACAACTTCTATTTAACTCGTCGAGTACCGGTTTTATAGACACAATTAAAGAACAATAGGTCGCGGTCACCGGTGACCGCTTGATGTTTGACAGTTTAATATAAGTAACCGCAGACGCACGTATCCAAAAAAGGTTATGTGCTTCCGCTAAAGAGAAGTATTAAACGAAAAAATTCATTATACCATCTAAGAATCTCCATCAAACTAGTAATCGAACAACTAAAACCTTCTTTTACAGGCAAAATAATTCACAGCCACGACTATAAAGAGCCAGAACCGTTTAGAAACCGCCGCGTCCTAATTGTTGGCGCTGGACCCTCTGGCATGGACATTGGCCTCGATGTGGCCGAAGTTTCGAAGACCTTAGTCCATAGTCACCACTCCAAGATCAACTTTAGCACGCCATTCCCCCCACACTACCATAAAAAACCTGATATCCAGGAGTTTAATGAAACTGGTGTCATATTCAAAGATGGTAGCTATGAAGAAATTGATGATGTCATTTATTGTACAGGTTAGTGAATCAGATAAAAGAAAGAAAATTGTCAGAAGTCAAATACCTACCTATACCAGAATTCTTTTTTGACGAAAGACTACTTTTGGAAACACTTCTTACGTCATCAGCTCAAATCATTGGATTGGTCAAATCAAATCATTGTAAAGCATCTATAGTATACAAAGTGGTCTACAATTTTAACATAAGGCCCTAATTATTATTTTTTGTTTTGGGACAAGCTCCTCCCAAAATCGCTGCAACTTCTGTAAGCCAGGGTCTTCAGTAGATACAATGTAACGCAAACGGTAACGCACTTGTGACGCCTTTGGTGTTTTAGATGTCTATGAGCTCCGTCGATTGCTTACCATTATGTGATTCATGTAGGTACTCATGTACGTTATCCCATAAAAAAGGTCTTGTGAATTGTAATTAAAAATAGAAGCTTTTAAGTTTTGTAATTAGTTTTGATTGATTTCGGGTGTTTTTCTAAATTGAACCTTCCAATCCTTCTATACTTGCTTGCTAACATATTAAAGCGTAATCCAATCTTTAGGTTTCCAATACGACATACCATTCCTAGACGAGTCGAGTGGCCTGACTTTAAGCCCTAAAAGCATAGTGCCTCTGTATCGGTACATGGTGAATATCAACCAGCCTTCTATGATCCTCATGGGACTAATCGTCAGGGCGTGTTTGGTCGTCGCTTTGGACGCTCAGGTAGACTATTACTTACTCTTCGTTTTTTAAGTGTTTAACACTGATTAAGCCGTTCTATCATGAGTGACTTAGTTTGATCTACTTACTATATCTAGACTAATGACTAAGTTGCCAATTCTTGTCACAACAAGCTTTTGCACACACAGCAACCGAGAACGTCGCCATTTATTACTTTGATTCAATTTAGCTACCGCTATACATTAAATACTGAATCAATTTTTTTATCTGAATATATACTAATCAATTGGCAGTCAGCCATGTTATTTAGTTGAATGTATTGCACTAAAGTTCAGTAAGATTTTAAAAATTTCTTATGGATTTTGGACAAGACAGATTTGTATAACCTATTATTTTTTTTCGACTTACTCACGTAATTATTTGACGAGGAACTCTACTAGGTTCAAGCCAGACAGTCGCCGCGTTGCGGGTCGCAGAATGCTGGTCATTATTATGTGCCTCTGGCATGGCTTCAAGCTAATCGAGTTTTTCGTCAAATAATTACGTGAGTAAGTCGAAAAACATAATAATAATTTTAGTATGACTCACGAAAGTTATAACATAAATGGAAAATCTTCTGACTTCCAGGCACGTTACGCGACCGCCCTGGTGAAAGGAAATTTCACCCTCCCACCACATGAAGAGATGATGCAGGAGTGGCAGAAGAGAATGAACGCTATCCGGTCTAAGGGACTCCCGTCTTCATACATACACATTCTTGCTGAGAAAGAGGTCAGTTGGAGATTTCTATAATATATACCGTACTTAGGTACTTGACGTTCTTAAAGCCATTTACGTGTTTTAATGCATATTTTATTAGTTTTAAATTGGGATGATGACAGGGTATGAAAATTAAAAATATAATTAGTCCGTAAGTTAGGTAATGAAAAAATATTAGACAAGTATTTTTTTATTTTGTCGTATAATAAAACAATACTTAGATAAAACGAATCAAAATTTAGGAGTTTGGTCTAAAACGTCATTTCTACGTATAAAATGTACATAGAAGTGACGTCACGCGACATTTCAAATCAATATAGCGCCGAAAGTATTATTTTCAGTAAGAAAATAAAAATTACATGTCTAATGACTTAAAATAATCTACCAGATGGACATTAAAATAAAAATTAGGCATCTACCCTATTGTAAGGAACGAGAGTTTTGTCTTTAAGTTGATGTCAATGATTTTTGTTCAACAGTGACAGTTTATTGGCTGAAATGATGATGATGACGCAAAGCTAATAAATGACTTAATAATTTCAGGATCAATACTACGCTGAGCTTTCAGAAGAATCCGGCATCCACCGTGTACCGCCAGTAATGTTCAAGATTCGAACCCAGGACATGCAAGCAAAGTTGGATAATTTGTATACATACAGAAACTACGTGTACACTGTGATTGATGACGAAAACTTTGTGAGACATGAAGAGGACCCGGCAGTTAGAAGAGGGCTAACTCTATAGTACGTTAATATTAATTAATTTTACAAGATTTAACTATAGTAAAGTTAATAAAGGTAAAGCTTAGGCCCAACCCTCCCATCCTCAAGTTGCAAAACGGTCGACAATGTACTTTTTTTAAATTTCTCATAACCCAAGCAACTCCTGTAAGCCACGATCTGCGGTAGATACAAACATGAAAACACCGGAACACTGAACTGCGTCGCGTCCTATGAATAACAAGAGAAGACAAAACGAGTTACTTGTTACTGTGTTAGAGGTGTTGCGAATATCCATGGACGGCGCCGATTGCTTACCATCAGGTATCCTTAAGCTCGTTTGCCGCTATACCTATATCCTATAAAAAGATTACCATATTTTAAGTTACGTAATTAATTGTTATGTTTTCGGGTTACTCACATAACTGATTGACGAGGACTAGTTTCAAGCCTCATAGGCTCAGCAGCAGCGCGACAGACGCGGGCGTCGTGGGTCACGGAATGCTGCTAATGAATATGAGCCTCTAGCATGGCTTGAAACTAGTCGAGTTCCTCGTCACGTGAGTAACTCAAAAACATAATGATTAGTTTAGTATGTTTCACGAAAGTTTTAATATTTTAAACAAAGCTACGTAATGTCAAAGGTAAGCTTTGAAATGTACTTACACGTGCCATAATATAAGACACAGTTTTTAAAGTAATATAAGCACTAATTGTAATGAAAAATAGAAGAGATTCATATTTCTATGACTGTTTCACGATAAATATTATGATTAGAGTTAGTATTGTATGTGAAAATACATAGAAGTGCACTTAATTTACAAACAATGTACAAATGAATTAATTAATAATTTATTTCTTTTATAAAATAATTAAATGCAAAGGACAATCGTTTTGTGTTTCTTGTTTTCTTTTATGCATCTACTTTGTTCAGAAAATTTGCTACCTTAGCCAAGTTAAGTAGTTACAATTACAATATTGAAAATCATAAAAAAGAAAACGATGATATTAAAATCTTTTACACATTTGATTCATTTTCTATACCTACCTCGCACAACCTACTAATATCTACTGGTCTAATATCGGAGAATTCAAGTGATGAATGTCAAATCTTTACTTTCAACAAAGGAAGCAATGATGACGGTCATAACAAAAAAATCATGTAGGTACTAAAACCAACAAAAATGGAATAAGTAGTTTATTTGTACTTATAAATTAATAATAAATCCTTACATAACAATTGTTATAATTGGTAACAATCAATTAAAAGATTACAAAAATACTGTATTAATAAAAGTCAGTGTGTTTAAAATATCTACCTAAAATCAATATAGGCAAGATATATTTTTATTCGTCAATAAAATCATTCATGTCCCAACATTCATACTTTACGTTTTAATAATCTCATTTTGAATTCAACCTTGTGGCGAACGCATTAAGGTCTTGAAGACTTGTACTCATTTTGGTCAATATTAAAATTTAACCTAATCTCACATTTCTTTACATTATTGTTCATAGTTTATACTTCGATGGGACAAGGGAGTTCCTTCCTGGGCATGTACGTCCTTTCGTAGTTCTGTGAGTCAACCAGCTTGTAGTCATAATCTCGGTAGTTCAGTAAGTCATCTAAACGGTTCTTTCCATTGAATTTAGCGATTTTTGTCAACACAGTCGGTGCGGGTATCACGTCTGCTTCAGCGGTCAGGTTTCCAAAATATTCATCCTAGAAAAAAGAAAAAAGTGTAAAATAAAGTAGGTACTACTGTTCTACGGATTTGATCAAAACAGTTGATAAAAACAAAAATAATGTTCTTGATTATTACACCAACAATTTAAAGAATCTCACCATATTGCTGACCACATTGACGTCCACGATCCGCTTGCCCATGTTCTGCTGCTCATACACGTGGTTCAGCCAGCTCTTCAGCATGGCTTCCTGAGGGGGCAGCTCAAACTTACCAGCTGCTAGAGCTGCCACATACTGGCCCTGTAATGGAAAAAATTACCATCAATTTAGCCGAAAATTCTAAAATGATTTTACATTCTTATTGTGTCGTACTTGGCACCTATTCTTTTTGTATGAAATTAGATTCAGTATCGAAGCAAATGAAGATTAATTCACACTTGTTTTACTCTTTCAGCTAGTCTTGTGCGTAATAGTTCGCGACTAAGATCACTCAGATCAGTTCGCCGCTCCTAAACGAACTAGTTCGCTCTTTTAGTTCGTCAGCTCCCGACTCCCAGTTGGAGTTGGAATTGGAATGAATCGCATAGGAACTAGAAAGGCACTGGCAGCCAAATCGCTCCCTAGTTCGTCAGCTCCCAACTCCCAGTTCGATTTGGAATCGGAATAAATCGCGAACTATGAAGGCACTGGCAGCCAAATCGCTCCCTAGTTTTGATGCAAGTTCCTGCACGCAATGAAATATTTATAATATATAATAACAAACTACAGAAATAAAAAAAAATATAATGCTTTTAATAGTCAACTTTTATTATTTAAATTTGTTTTATTTAAATCTAAATAAGTATAAACTTTTTCTCTCAATTTTCATAATATAAAATATATACATTAACTATAAAATTTCTCTCTTTTAACTCGATTATTATTCAACTAATATATACCTCTACTAAATTAACACACAGTAAACTTATTAATTTAATTAATGACTTTTCAAGTGAGATCATAATGTGTTATCGCATTTTTTAGTTCGGTCTTCACTATAGACTATACATATAAACGACTTCACAATCATTGTACTTGTACTTTGAAATACGAACTAGGAACTAAGGAGTTGGGAATGACGTGAACTAGTTCGCATATTTTGAATGTGGGAGCGCTCTTTTGAACTAGTTCGTTCGCGAACTACACAAGCCTACTTTCAGCAGAACACAGTCATGATGCTGCGCTTGTAGTTAGTAATTTCTATAAACGAATCTAATATTAGTATGTCTCACGATAGTTGTTATAAAAATCTAACATTTTTATATTTCGACCCATGACATAATCTTTTACTTTTAGCAAAGTCTTACCTGAGCATCCATAACTCTATTGATGACTTTCTTCGAGACTCCGACGAAGGCCATGCTGGGGCGTTTGATGTTCACAGTATGCCTGTACAGAGGTAGCACGAACTTCTGCGATGCTGTCACTCCTGAACTCTGGTCGAGGAATGGATGGGCGTAATTGTAACCTGAAATATTAACATTTTACTTAATGAATGATACGTATTTTCAAATTTGTACAACTTTTCAATTCTACATACATCAAAAGAATGAAGAAACTGTTTTTATCAAGAAAACAAATTTAAGAGTCGTAGTTTTAGGACTTCACGAGTTATAGATACATTTATAACAACTCCTAAGGTAAGGTAGGAAAATTAGTAAGTCTGTATTAAATAATTTGTCCACAATATAAACCATTTTTATAACTAACATTAAGTTAAATACCTGTGCAGAATATGACTTGATCAAAGTCTTCAGTGGAACCGTCAACGAAGACAGCGCCAGTAGGAGTAAAAGAATCGATGTCTGGTTTCTTCACGTAGGTTGGAGAGAAATCTGGCTGGTTGTAATTGAGATGGTGACTGTGGAACAACTTCTCAGTCACATTTGACAGTTGTATCGCAAGGTCCAGCCCCGAAGCACCAGCGCCGACGAGGAGCACTCTGCGACCCCTTAAGTCTTCGGAGTCTTTGTAATCATGGCTGTGCATTATTTTTCCTGGAAATGGAATTTTCTTTATTTAATGTTGGACGAGAATATTTTTATCGAATAAGTACAAATACGACATAACAATAAAATTTTATTAATCGATTTGTAAACCCAACCCATTTATAAATTAAAACGTTGCATTCAACGACTACAACATTTTGTAGTCAAAAGGTAAGGACGTAGGTATAGTACACATACAATTTAAAGTTATGGGATTTAAAATTGAAATAAAATACGAAACACAAGAGAAATCCTTGAACAAAGCTGCCGCAAAACGTGACTGACAAATACAACAAGCTTGCAAAGTACAGGAAAACATGAGTACCTTTGTAAAAAAGTACAATTACTTTATTAATCTGACATATTAGTTTTGCTGGGGTTATTACCGCCAGGCATGTATAAAAACCTGGCACAATAGGAGGCCAGATATGTTGAAGGAGGCTACGCTACCCACGATGTTTAATCGTGACCTGATTGATTAAAAAACGTTTTTTAACGCAAATTGAACAATTTCGCGAAATGGCCATTATAATTAACTAACTGAGGCTAATTAATTGAATATGTTTTTTAAAGCGAACTTATCGGAGTGACTTAAGGAGTCAAGTTCTAATGACTCCTAAAATGAAAAAAGTTTTGCTTTGCATTTTATCTCCCAAAATAACAGATAGAGGTGGATAAATACTTATATCACTCATTTAAACTTTTGGTATGTACCTAATAGAAAAATAGTGGGAGTGGGAACGCTACTAAGCTAAATACCCTGCTGTATACCTACTTAGGTGCCTAGAATGTGAGATTTCAAAAGTGTAAGACTTCAATAATTAAAGCCAACACGGAAGATAAAGACAATAACATTCGGAATCTAAATTACCTTTGTACATGTTCATCCTTTCGATGTCTGGTATGACGGGGCTGCTGAACTCTCCGCTGGCGACCACCACGAAGTTGCATACCTCAGTCACTTTCTCCTTCGTGTCTATCTTTGTGTACGTCACCTCCCAATGGTCATTCGCCCATCTTACTAGTGTCACCAGACTCTGCAACTACAATTAAAATAGTATTTAGTGACAGACACATATAGGTAAATTCTTGTCGAAGGTATAAGCACAGAACAATTTCAAATTCAATTGATACTTGTAAATATTCCGATTTTTCTAGTTGACTATGAACAATCATTGGAACAGCTCCAACTACATACTTAATTAGAAAAAATAATTATAAAATTGTAATCGGCACTAGCAATTTGTGTAGGTCCTACCTAAAATGTAGCTGATTTTGATTAATGAACACATGTTTACAGCATTTCTAAGTATCCTTGATGGATATAGTAATATACCATATGCACCTAAAGACAGAGCTTGTAAACTTAGAACTATATTTATTGACGAAATCTATTAACAATGATTATAAAGTATGTAAAGTAAGAATAAATACCATACCATACCATAGCATAACTAATATCTAGTATCATATTGCACCTGTACATCAAAGAATGTTAACCACCAACACTTCGGGATAACAATCCCACGTTTCCTTAGTATTCATCCAACATGTTTCACCATATCTATGAAAACCAATGAATTATGCATGCCCAGCGTGCTCCATGGTGTGAACGATAAATAACAATAAAACCATTTAATACAGGTTTTCTTGTCACGTCATCATGGCAATTGGCAATGAACAAAATTATTTATAGTACCTACCTTTATAGCTATAGAATACCTGCAGGTACATCCTGATTCAAGTCCATGGATTTATTTATGGGCACAGGTCTATTTACTTACTTCCTACCTGGTTGATCTAGTGATAGCAGGCGCAAATGCAACTTCTGATCATATATTATTTGGGATTAATTATGTTCCTGAATTATTTATATTTTATAGCATTAAAATTGGGTACTTCCCTTAATCTATATAAATATCTATAAAAATGAAACCCGGTTCCCGTTGTCAAGCCATAACTTGAAAATGGCTAGACCAATTTGGCAGATTTTTTTTGTTGTGTTTGTTATTGTTAGGAGAAGGATTCCTACGTATTGTTAGGAAACTCCTACGGGAACGGGAGAAAACGGGATTCCGCGTACGAAGTCGCGGGAAGAAGCTAGTCATAAATAAATTATTTCGACTGTTAACTACAATCAAATATTAAAAAATAATGACACTTTCATGAATTGATTTTATGACCGACTTAATTTTAGTATTTTTCCAGCAAATTTTTAAGAAATAAGTATGCTATTTGACCCTAATAAACCGTAACGTCACCTTACACAATCTCGTACAAAATTCAAATTTCTAATTGCAATCTTAAGGAAACAAATAGAATAAAGTAAGCAGGTAACGTTATTACGGGTTTATTTTATTATATCATCCATATTTACTATTTACCTACGTAATCTACCCAGTTTCATTAATTACTGTCGCGCAAGTACCTACAGCTTGAAACTTTTTATTACAAAAGATTCAGAAAAAACTATGACGCTTGTGGGAATTTCATACTTGTCTGTTTTTCATTGTCTAGTGTTTGCTAATCAAATGTATTGTATAATAGAAACAAGTATGTTGTAGCGATTCTAACATTAATTACCGTATTAACCCACTTAATTTTAAAAGGATTTAAAGAAAAAACCACAAAACTACAAGTACTGAAACTTTAGATATAAAGTAAGTAACAGCAATCAATGAAATCTTTACATGTATTATTTACAATTTAATTATCGTGTCGTAGTCAAAGTACTTAAATGAATTAAATATAGGTAGTCGCCAATGATGTTTTATTTGAATGTCATTGGTAGTCGCACATATTATTTTTACGTACGCTGCTCATGAATAAGAGTCCCAGTGTGACGTGAAACTGGTAGAGGTTTTCTTGTAATGCCACATGAGTAAGCCTACGCTAAAATGCAGAGCATGGTAAAGAAACTGTACTTTAAACATCCTTACTATTATAAATGGGAAACTAACTTTATTTGTTTGTTTGTTTGTTCCGCTTTCACGCCGTAACTTCTAAACCGATTGCTTTGAATTTTTGCAGACGTAAAGTTAGAAGTCCGGATTAAATAATAGGGTACTTTAATTCCCGGAAAATTTTGAAATTCCCGAGGGAAAACAAAAGAATTGGTATAGATGGCGCTGTGTATATTGGTATATGTCACATAGGCTACTTTTATCTTTTTGTGACGCGAGCGAAGCCGTGGGTAAAAGCTATTGTTATCTAAGTTAAAGTAAGAGTAGGCATCACTTAGGTCTCACTTGACCGTTATAAGCTGGATTTATTCACACCGTTCAAGTTATGCAAGCCGCTGACATTAGTTAGCCAACTTTAGATTTCACTTAGTTCTACATGCACTTCGTAAGTTCACACTTGACACTGTTTGACGCAGGGAGCGATTTCAATTGCGGTTTTACGACTTCGATACTCATACAAATATTTGTGCGACCTACACTTTTAATACAATGCTTATGTAAGTCTTTGTTACATCGACAGCTATTAGCCATATCATACAGGCACTTATTGAGTTTTTGGGACAATAATTTTAATGGATTTTATCGATAGTTGAAATTTCAGAAACTGCACGAAATGTATATTGTATCTATGTATATATTTTTGCCTATCGTCCATGTGAAAGGAAGGAAGAAAGTATTAGACAAAGAAAAGAAATTAAATAACTTGAAATAAAGTCGTGGTGGCCCAGAGGTTTAAGACGACCGCTTCTCATGCATGAGGGTGCGGGTTCGAAACCTTCCAACGGCAAGTAGCAATGTGACTTTTTCTGAGTTACCTATATGTACTTTCTAAGATTATTCAGACACCACTGACATACGGTGAAGGAAAACAACGTGAGGAAACTTGGGCTTATAATTTCTAATTATAAGTTTGTAATCGCCAACCCGCATTGAGCAAGTGTGGTGATTAATGCTCAAACCTTCTCCGTGTGAGAAGAGGCTTTGCTCAGCAGTGGGTATTTATAGGCTGTTGGTGTGTGATGTGTGAAATAATAATGTTTGAAATTTAAATCTTTTAAAAGAACGGACGTAGTCTAGACTTAAATTTAAAAATCGTATTGGAAGCATTCGCAACCAATAGCTTGCAATAATGGGGATGATGACAGGGTATGAAAATTAAAAATATAATTAGTCCGTAAGTTAGGTAATGAAAAAATATTAGACACGTATTTTTTTATTTTGTCGTATAATAAAACAATACTTAGATAAAACGAATCAAAGTTTAGGAGTGGGGGTTAAAACGTCATTTCTCAGTATAAAATGTACTGAGAAGTGACGTCACGCGACATTTTAAATCAATATATCTTCGAAACTATTCGTTTCCGTAAGAAAATAAAAAATACGTGTCTAATGTTTTTAAATAATCTACCAGACGGACATTAAAATAAAAATTAGTCGTCTACCCTATTATGTAAAATAATTATATACATATTTGAACCGCAAATTAATCAATGACTTACATATCTATAGGTATCAGATACATATTTTAGTCAAAAACAAGGTAATCTAACTGATAAAACTAGTTAAAATAAATAAAAAGCAGGCTTCAAGTAAAGGTTGAATTTCATAAGGAAGTCTTAATGTTATGTATGCAAAACCTGTTCCTATCGAGTGACCCTAATGCCGGCTGAATGGAAATTATTCCCAGCACCTTACAACATTCTCTCAAGTAAAATTACACAATATTAACTAATACGAATTCGTAAATAAATTGGTACGATCAAAATAGAACAGATAGGTAACAATTTATAATGTATTTTATTCAAATACGATAAACCGATACCTAATGTCAATAAAAAAAATAATAATAAAAAGAAATCTGTTTCGTATTTCAAAATGCGATCATAATGTTACGTAATGTTATTCTTGTTAAAAAATAATCCTAAATACTTTTTATGACTTTTTTTAGTTTTTAAAACGTTGCCCCACACTAGGATTTTCTCCTATGTCGTGGGTGCGTTTACAAACATACAAGTTCACATACACATTACACCCAGACCTGGAACAACAATCTGTGGATCACACAAAGAGTTGTTCCGTGCGGGAATCGAGCCCGCGACACGTTGCGCGGCAGTCAGTTTCCCAACCACCGCGCCAACCGTACCATAGTATAAAGATTCTTTATACTATGACCGAACAGTCACCGACTGTTTAAAGTTTTTAAGAAAATCCCAATTTTTTAAGATAATTTTAATGACATTAAATATATCTACATAGATAGTGTCATTAAAAATTCAGTAAATTCAAAACAGTTATCAAACAAGCTCTATTTGTATGATTCTGTAGCAAATGATACTTTAATAGTTGATGCTTTAATTTTTCATTGTCTTTCAAGTACCTAATTTTCATACCACAATTTACAAGAAAATCATATAAAACTACAATACTAATACTGTGTTCATATCTACTTACTTGTATATTATCCAGTAATCCGAAATGTTTAGCGAAGTGCTGCAGGTACTTGTAGAAGCAGGGTCCCGTTGGATACGAGGGCGTCTCCTCAGGGAACGGGAACCCGGAGTACTCCATCGTCTGGCGCGGAGTATTTGTTCTGAAACATATATTGTGCACTTAGCCCTGTTGTCGAATAAATAACATAAGTATTGAAATAAAAAGATAACATAGTGTGGGTTTATTTGTGTGCATTAATTCTTTTTACATGAGTACCAAAAAGACTTTAGAATTAGAAAAAATGCTATTTATGGTGTTTAGATAACTTCTTTTGCACCAATTTATAGGTATGCAGTGCTCATTAAAAACTTACGTAATGTACCTATGTACCTAATTGATAAATAGGTACAGGTACCTAGATGTATAAATTAAAAGAATATTATAATACAATGGACTGCTACATTGGCCGAGTGGTCGCAAGTGCGACTGTCGGGCAAGGAGTCTCGGGTTAGATTCCCGAGTCTGGCAAATATTACTGGGTTTTTCAAAAAAAATCACAATAGTAGCATGGAGTCTGGAATTGTGCCCGGTGTATGGCAATAGGTTCACCCCCTATAACATTGGACTCTACATAAATAGTGAAAAGTAGGTGTTACATTGTACAGTAGCATAATTTACACCTCTGCCAACCCCTTCGGGGATAAAAAAGGCGTGATGTTATGTTATGTTATTATAATACAAAGCGGGAAAATCTAAAATCTCAAAAACCCAATCAATTTCTACGAAAAACATTTAATAAACGCAGACGTAAATACCCATAAAATCCATACATAAGTGCTTATTAAAGATTACATTTTACATAAACTTTTCCTTATACCATGTAGTCAAATTGTCTATTCATAAATAAATTAACAAAGCTAAGGTTATATATGAAGAACGTGCTTTTTGCATGCACATTACTTAGTAACGAATGTCCTCAACTTCTTTTAAAGACTACTCATAAATATTTTATAACTTCCAGGTCGATATATAAGCATTCTCATTAAAACCTAACACTTAGAACTTACACAAAAACGGTCCTTGAATTTAATTATGTATTTATGACAGTTTAGTTTGTATCTGACTACAAATTACTTATTAATTTTATTCATAATTATAGCAGACGGTATTTTCCTTTAATAATCATTTTAATGACGTTAATAAAAGATTTCTTCAATGAATATTTATAGAGTTGTGTAGTAATTGGCTTTCATATCTTTCTTTAACAAAAGGACTCTAAGGATGTTATTATTTTATTAACTAGGTTACTAACTTCTGCCTGCGACTTCGTACGCGCAATCCCGTTTTCTCCCGTTCCCATAAGATTTTCAGGATTCTTTTTCTATGATAAGAACCTTGTCCCGACAATAAAAAGACAACAAAAAAAAAATCTGCAAAATCGGTCCAGCCATTTTCAAGTTTTGGCGTGACAACGGGATAAGGGTTTCATATTTATATATAGATATATCATTGTAGCCATTATTATCATCTGAATACAAGACATCCACTGATGAACAGTCTTTTAAGTCCCTAACCTAACCTAACTGGAGTTCACTGCAATCCCCATGATGCGATGGCAGACAGGCTTTTACCGTCTCTCGGTGGCTTATCGCTGTTTTAGTCGCACGTTACAGTCACTTCGTTTTTGTTTAATTTGTTTGCAAAAAAAAACAGATTTAATAACCATCACATAAGAGGCAGTTTTTTTCCTTTTGAAGATCAATGGTGATACGTGTTATGACGTCGTTGTAAGAAACTGGATCTTATATTGGTCACAGCCGCTTTATCGCATAATGGACCGGTTTTATTATTTTAAAAGTAAATTATCTAATATCCGCAATTTCTCTCTGGTTGCCAAACATAATGCAATCTTTATTTGTGCAGTGAGCTTACTGGGACATTCTTTACCGAGGCAAAATATTAAATATTTTGTGATTTACAGTCATTTCAAAAACAACTCTTGCTATGTTTTAAAAGTGCTAAGTAAAGGTATAAGAAACCGACATCAACCTGCAGGGTTAAAGGACATTCCAAAAAGAAGAACAAACATTTTTATCTTTATCCTCCACCTCCAACAATTTTTACTTTCATGACACTTATTTATACCTACTTAATGTGAATTATTGTAATTACCGATTATACTGTAAGACTTTTAAAAATAAACATTTCACATCTCCCCAAAAAAACTCAGATTGGTCATCGATATTTACACAAAAATAAAATACAAGACGAAGGTTTAACCATTAAGGAAAAGGATCGTAAAATAAACAAGCAAAGGACATTCAAAACTTACCTCAAGTTTTTGTACATGCTGGTAAAGAGAGGCAATCCATCTTCGTCAACACCAACATGAGGATCGAATCTCCATGTACCTCCTATATGTCTCGAAGCTTCGAAGACTGTGAAGTTGAGGCCATATTCTTTCATGTAACGAGCAGTTCCCAAACCGGAGTAGCCCGCACCAATGATACACGCACGGGGCACTGGCGCCGACTGAAAAAGAAATACATTTACTTTATTAATTATTCCTGTTTAATTTATTTATTAAGTGATAGAGGTGTTGGGTTATTTTTTGTAATATTTGTTTAAGAATCACTAAGTGTGGGAGAGCCATGCTACAGCATGAATGGGCCGGCTCGATCGGAGTGATACCACGGACTCACAGAAAACCGACGTGAAACAATGCTTGCGTTGTATTTCGTCGTGTGAATATGAATGAGGATACCGGAGACCCAATTACCCCTCTCACTAATCTCCTCATTTAACTAAAAATCGGAGTTACTCACGTGAATATACCGAGACAAGCTCTACAAGTCGCAGCGATGTCGCGCACATGTAGGTACAGTAGACTGCGTGACAGCGCCGCGACCGCGCACGCAACTCATGACAAAGAACCCCTCTGTGGTTCGAAACTAGTAGAGCTTTTCTCAGTATATTCACGTAAGTAACCCGCGATTTTTAGTTAATTTTAGTATGTCTCACGATAGTTATATAAAAACAATCTCCTCAGTCCCCAAATCCCCAACAATCCTTAAACTCCTGATACGCAAAAGGGCGGTAATTTTTGCCTCTGGTGTTTTAGAAAAAAATCATCGATGAGAAAGACAGCGACACGATATCCTCTACTGAACATAGGTCCCCCCCACAACTTCTTGATCGGTCTGTTAGAAGCTGTAGGAAGCTACTTGCTCTTTTGATCTGTTTAATTATGACTCTCAAAATCCTACCATCCGAAAATATCTCCTAAAAGCTAAAGAATAAAATCCGTTCAAAATATTCTAATGTTTCTTCTTGTGACTTTTTTTGCTTCCATTTCGTTTCGAAAACAAATCTTCGAAATATCTGTGCTTTGGGTAAATACTAGGTACCTACCTATGTTGATTGCGTCAACAGAACTCAAAGCTAGATAGTTATTAACTTTAAATACCTAGATTTTACCAATATACCTATAACTATAAAAACAACATTGATCGTGTATCACGAATGTCTTAAGATTCATGCATAAATTATGTTTTAATGCACTGATTATCCGATAAGTACTAGTCTCGTACCGGAATCTAACCCGTTATGATTCTGTAACTAGGTACAGACTCATTTCATACGTAATCACTTTAATTGTAATATTTTCTTATAAATAAACTAATTGCTATCGGAGGATGTTGTTTTCATATATACGTATACAATAATACATACCTCGTTGGCCGAATGGTCGCAATCGCAAGTGCAACTGCCGGGAAAGGGGTCTTGGGCTCGATGTCTAGGTCGGACAAAAACTACTGGGTTTTTAAAAAGACATCTCAGTGGTAACACGGAGTCTGGAATTGTGTCCGGTATACCTATAGCTATAGGCTCACATATATTAGATTGGGTTTATGACATATATAGAGAAGTGTGTGTTACATTGTACAGTGGCAATAAGTGCCGTTATGTGCACATCTGCTTACCCCTTAGGGGATAAAAGGCGCGATGTTATGTTGCGTTGTGTTATAATAACTCCTGTATCATTGACTGTATTCATAATTATCTGTAATAAACTACATATTTAGACCTTGTATTTAATTCATAAAGAATTGGAAATGCAAATATGAGACTCATCGTAAGATAGACGGAATAGAGGAAGCTACTAAGCTACTAATAATAATATAAATAACTGACTATCCTTGGGTGCATTTCCATAGTGCATACAGGGATAGTCGCCGATTTGTGTGTCCATTACATTTATATTAAAGTTGTCTAAAGGGCCTCTGCGCAGTTGGCTTCGGGCCCTCGTACGCCTCCTAAATGACCGGAACCCTGTGGTCCCGTGAATGGTAGGTACACACATAATATAAATAATAATGCAAACACTAAAACTATCAGTTGATAATTACGCAGAAAAATGTACTGACATAGAGTAGACTGACATAGAGTAGACTGACATAAAAATGTAGACTGACATAGAGTATAGAATGCAAACAGAACATTTTTCAAGTTTCTCGGAAAATTGCACAGATGCAGAAATATTTTTAACATCGTTAAGGGTTTTTTTTTTCATTTTGGAAAATCTTCGAATAACTGCTCCCGCCTGGGTGAGGCGGGAGGGAGTATCAGACTCTTACTGACTAAAAACCACCCCGTTCCTTCTCCTGCACGTCGAGCCGGAGCCCCGGTTACCCGTTAGGTTCGTTAAGGGGTAGTACCTATCCAGTACAGAAATGAAATTAGATCGAAATTAAAAATAACGCACCAACAAGTATTAATTAACACACACGCTCGTACCAAAATCCCAATAATGGAAGTACAAAGCTGTTTTGATTATGTACAATAATTCACTTTATTTAAATCTCGACCGGTGGACGACCTCTAATTCATAAGAAAACATCAACAAAACGAGCCAAGTGCTTACGTCATATAAATAATTATCCGAACCATCTTCCTGATCCCTCGTCTTCAAGAGAAACAAGCCGAACACTGCAGCCGACACAAACTTGAACACTGTTTTTAATTTTATCCTAATCATCGCACTGTCATCACCACTGTCATTAAGGTCTTAATTTAAATAAACAGGAATTATGTGGATAATCTCAATAACCTTACGTTATGATACATTTGGCAACAAGAGATAGAATTAATATGGACCTTATGTGTCAGAATTCTATGTCTAGTAACCAAATCTACCACGACATAGATAGGTTATTGACATTGACCGCGTATGTAGATTTGACTACTTTTAAAAATAGAATTGTAACAAGATTTTGTTGAGCCTATGTTAAAATTAGGTCTTCAGTAGAAACACAGCACAAATGTATTGATAAACAAGTTACTGATACTGTTTTAAAAGATTTTAAAAAGAAACGTTAGTAGAACTTGTAATCTATCGTACTCTGGTGGAAAAACTACAGTTGATAACTTACTATCAAGTTCTATTTCGATTTAAGCACCGTGAGAACGTTTAACGAATTAATTGCTACGATAATAAAAGAAACAACGTTTTTATTTGAGGATAACCACATTACTAAGTATAAAACACTGACACTGGCTTTAGTTTGTTTATTTTTTTAATTTGAATGCCAAATCTTGGTGAAGTTAAAAGGAAAAAGATTTCATCTCGTTTTGAATGTTTATTTACGCGTTCAAGACCACTTCATTGCGCTTCTTCATACTTAATAGTCACAAATTACCATTACCCACATGAAACCCGTAAACGGTGAAGCAAATTACGATTTTATGCATTTATTAACTTGACCGTTTTACTTGGTGATTTCGTGGAGTGGACACACATTTCACTACTGTTTACAGATGCTTAGTTTTCGTTCCCATCTCAGGTCAAGCAAAGTATGGAATCTTTCGGGTTTCACTTATCCGTATGATGTACTATCACGGAGTCTAGCTGTAACTGTGGACATAATTACACGTAGTCCATGATACTACTAAGGCATAGCCCGGTACAGCCCACTGATATAGTCAGTTATTCAGCTGCCCTATACATATTATTACAGTATTACTCTTTGGCTGCTCCGCTGTCACAGCTTGACATGAGATGAATACATGACGATAGGATCCCGTTTTACCTACGCGGTTCATACTTTTATTTTATGTACATACATTATAATAGTTTGAAGACATCTACGTTATGTTAATTTAATTATTTAATTAAGGTTTTAATTTTATTTTTCTTTCCTTCATTGTTTGTATCAAAAATGTTAAACAATGACATAACATTCGTACGTAATTATGTATGTACCATTTTCACATTACCTTGAATATTACGTTCACTTCAAATTAAAACCTTCAACGGTGTCATGGTATGTTGTGTATAATTGGTACTGCAAGTCGTAGGTAATTTCACGACAGTTTAAGTACCTATCTACTTAATATTACTTGCTGCAGGTCACTAAGACCCCTTGGAGGATCAAATTAGAGGACAACATTATATTACTTAACCCAGTTCCGGGGTCGTGGGTAAAGCCAGTGGATAAATTATCACGGTTCTAGCTCTGAGCAGGAGTTGGAACGGGAAGGTTTTTAGTCTTGCTTGAGACCCAGAATGACCTAGGGCGGTAAAAGTCCCTACGTGATTGTCCCCACAAGAAAAGATACCAGCATTTGTATATAAACACAAACTTTTATTTTATGGGAGCAAGCAGAAGCTATAAAGCATCACGTAATCACGAAGCTTCATATCCTTCAAATTCCTAGATTAGCACCGTGATTGAGAGTACTCAAACCTGACTTTTATGTGACCTCAATGAGATAATAGCGTGCTCATTAGGAATTTCTAATTTCCGTTTATTTTGTTGACGACTTATGTAATGACGTATTGTTTCAATGTAAAATCATCTGTCTAATCTTGTATTCACGAACCATGGCGTGCTGTAGCCATTTAACCCGATTTTATATTGCGTAATACTTGCGTACATGTAGGTAAATAAGAGGCTATTAAGTCAACGAAAATGTCTGCTTGTTTAATAATCTGTGGGACATACATAACATCACGCCTTTTATCCCCGAAGGAGTAGGCAGAAATGCACATTACTGCACTTAACCCGTCGTGTGTCTAAACGTGGATCCACGCGAGACACAATGTATTTTCTATTGTGTCTCATATCGATGCATTCAAGTGGTTAAAGTCTCTGCCTTGGGAGACAGGCGTGAGGTTATGTATGAAACTATGTATCTCTTCAACTTAAAAAAATATTAGAATCGGTAACACTCCAAATAACTTTCCTCGTATTTATTTATAGGATATATACCTAATGGCTATCAAGAGACTGGAAAACCCGTCTAGTATCTAGTTACAGAGAGCGGATTAGCCTTGTAGATGAAGTAACAACTTAAGTAATTTGAATCGAAGGTATACAACGAAGGACAAACAGGACCTGTCTATTATGTGTAGCGAGCTTAATGGCATACAAATTCATATTTCTTTGAAATAATTATCTATGCGTTTGGTTTTGTGGTTTCATAGAACTTGAAATGATCTAATGATTTATATTGAAATCACTGATGATAAATAAAGTGGGTACGAGATGGCTTGTTGCTTAGGTACCTCATCGACATCTTACCCTGACGTCAGTGACGTCGGTGAGATACCTACCTACTACACGAACATATTTTTATTGTTATGTTAAACTCTTTAAGTTATTCTAGGTATATGTATATCCAGAACATAATGAGGCATTAGGTATGTAGGTACTTATTGCATATTTGCTAACATCAGTAAAATTATTGTTATGTTATCAGTATAGGTTTTTCCATTACACACATTTCTATGTAATGTCCATATTTTAAATAATGAATACGATAACGCTATTTAGGTCAACCACAGATATTTGAAGTCGTAAATGTTTAATTGCTACGGGTACCTTCGACAGCTGATTTTCAAAGGCTTTCCTTTTTCATTTAAATATTTATCAAAATCGAATACATGTCTAAGTCGATAGAGAACAAAGAAGTTACGTCTTTATTTTTATGAGGAAGTAATAAAATCTAATTAATTGCTCCCTCATTGCTACTTAGGACTTTGAGAGTTAGTAACGAAACATGGGTGTTGCAATCGAATGATGGTCGACCCGCCAACTTTGTCGATTGTACCCAATTCAGCAGCTGTAGCCAAATGCCACTCAGCGCTTGTCTACATGTAGAATAGAAAACCAAATTATATGTGATTGACTTAAATTTTGACACTTGTCAATGTCATCCCCATACATTTAGTTTTCTACTCTCGCTGTAGACAAACGCTAAAGTGGCGTTTGGCTAAAGGCACTGACTAGAAAGACCGAAAGACAAATTAACTATATTGTCCACCTTATGATAAAGTGTCCACCTTATGATAAAGACCCCAAGTTCCCTTGAAAGTCGTTTATCAATATATTTTAGAAAATGTAATAGGTACCTATCATAACGGTAAAGGTTATTACATTAATAGAAGATAACGTAACCATACTTAATTCACATTTGATGTTAGTATTCATAAATGGCCGATGTGTAATTATTTGCATCGTTAAATTAGGTACTTACTTTGAAACATCATTTATTTATCAGATGTACTTATACCTAATAAATAGTATTTGATATTGGAAATATCGAAAACATTTAAGTTAACATTTCTTTAATAGTTTTGTAATTCTACAATTAAACTATCCTTACTCCTTACTAATATTACAAATCTGAAAGTGAGTTTGTTTGTTTGTTTGTTTGTTCCACCTTCGCGCCGTAACTACTAAACAGATTGCTTTGAAATTTTGCAGACGTAAAGTTAGAAGTCCGGATTAAATAATAGGGTACTTTTTATCCCGGAAAAATTTGATATTCCCGAGGGAAAACAAAAGGATTGGTATAAATGGCGCTATGCGTATTGGTATTTATGTCACATAGGCTATTTTTTATCCTTTTGTGACGCGAGCGAAGCTGCGGGTAAAAGCTAGTGAGAATATAATTGTTGCTGATAGGATTTGACCCTTCACCATCTGGGTGCTTAAGGGACTACTAATGTAATAACAGTAATCAAATCGACTATGAACGAACATAACATGGAAATAGATGACCGTAATTAACTCATGGTGTACTGAGACGCTGGTTCACACAAGACATATATGCATAATTCCTATTATGTCCCTCATACCTACCAGCGTCCAAGTGGTTAACACCTATCAACCATTATCTAAACATAAAAAAAAAAAACAAAAAGATTTATAAAGGTCACAACTGATTATAAATTCAAAATAAGAAATTTTTATGACAAAACCATAATCGATTTATTGACAAACAAAAAGTCCACGACTAAACCAACCGCCTACATTGTGGTTACCCAAACTAAAATATGCATCGGAAACTCAGTCAAGGAGCACTGGTGTATTCATCATACCCATATCGGTGACCATCTTCCATAATAAACACAATTTTGATTCACTGTTGTAACAAATGACATGCAATTATTTCTGCCCATGACATGACTGCCCACGAGCTCCACAGATCCATTGTAATACGACAAGCCTTGTCCATCAACCAATCTCATAAATTACCCATATTACCACGCTTTCGAAACTAAAAGACAGTTTAAAAAATGTCTACCAAAAAACAAAAGTGAAATTTCATTAGTACCGGATCAACTTTCGCGTTTAATTAATGCAAACTTTAAAGAGTAAATAAACAATTCGATTTCTAGATTCATCGTCAAAGAAGTAAATTCATAAAATCGTACGAAAATGTTAAATTAAAATTGGTATCAATAGCTACTTAAGTACTAGCGTAGTACCTACAAAAGTCTATAAAGTAATTAAAATTCGTTAACGGTCAACCGATAACAAATTATTGTTCAATTGTTAAACACGTTGTATGGTATAAAATTATAAACCAATTTGTTTTATTTTATACCTAGGTATACCTAATAATAAAACAAGTTGCCTTCAAGACGTTTTGTGAAATCATTGCAGATTGCAATGACATGTAATATCGTGTCAGAAAGGACACACGCTCAGATGTGTACAAACATGGAGAGACACTATGTTGCCCAGCCGGTTGCGAAATGCTTCCCGCTTTGCCTTCAACAACATTTTCCGCACAACACTGCGCGCACGCACGCTATGTGTCAATGGTGCGGTGACCGGCGTACCATCACCACACACTGATATAATCAAGAACGGATAATGGCACGGAAACTATATGATGCGAAAGTATGTAATTAACTATTGTTAAGTGATAAGAATTAAGTTTAAACTGTAGTGTAATAAATAAAACAAAACAAATTGGGTGATCCGTATCTTAATCATGCGCATGCGCTGCCCGCTGGTATTGTGGACATAAGGACATGAGTGATGTAGGTATTTTGAAGTATTTATACTTAAGTCATTAATCAAATAATAAAATATTGCATTGGCGTACTTTAAATAAGTTTTCAAATATTGAAACGAGATGTTCCTAAGTAAACATAATATTCTCTCTACCCATAAGCAAGTATTTCTTGACTTTTCCTTTTAAAGTAAAACAAGTCCTGACATTATTTATTTTTCGGTACCTACCTCTTATAAGAATCCAATAATCTACAAAAGAGACGCATAGTTGTCTATCATTATAGAATACTAGTCGTCACTGAACTGACCAAATTTGAAAATCAACAAATTAATAGAATGGAGCTTTAATTAATAGATAAACAGAGAAATACTGACCTACGCAAAATAGGCAAATGACACAAAAAGCACACCGCTGTGCATTCTCGAGAGACACAAATCACAATGCATGATGTCATATAAAGTTAGGTAGGTAAGCCAAATCATGGATAAGTAAAAAAAGCTGTGGACGAATTAATAATATTTCGGTTGTACCAAGGTAAGGTAACAACAGACTGAATAATTAATTAAATAACAGCCAGTAAAATAAGCCAAATTATACATTTGAATAATTTAAAAGATGTTGTTCTATGCACGACAACGGTTTCACTCATTTCCTCAAAAAGTAGGTACCTATGTAATTTTATAAAAGTCTATGTATGTACATTCAGGCGCACTATAATTTAATATTGCAGAAAATAAGTACTTACGGAAACAAATTCCAATGCAAGCCATTCAGTGAGCAACAGTAATTTTCTTATAATGTAAGAGAATGTAAGCGCAATAACGGATAAATGTTTTAATCGACAATCGAAATAGATACCTAATACTAAATAACCTGAACGACTAAATATGAAGTAAGTTCAGGCTTAAATCGGCATTTTATTTAAATCTAAACCGCGTTACACGGTTCTAAGTCCCTTAAAGAACATTTTAGCCGCAATTTACGATTAACCGCCTACACTTTAAGAACGTTACTTTCAAAACCCAAGCCATAGCTAATCTAAAACTAATCTCGAATCTAAAATTATCATAACAATCGCGTATTAACTTAAATTAAATGAAAACAAAACATCTACCTGAGTAAACACATCAGCCACTTCTAGAATCACATTTAACAAGCATAATATTATCACGCACGATCGGCACGCCATTATAATAACTAGATCAACATTAAAAGAACACAATAAAAAACTGCACGATTAAACTTGCAGACAATCTAAATATACGAGCGACCGGTGATCAGTGGCGTTCCGCGAAGAGACAACACAAGAGTGAGCTAAAGTTGTGGATGCCTGAAGTAGGGGACCACTCTATGACCTTGACCGTCAAGGCTCACTGACTCACATACAGACCCTGTTTTCTTATTGCACGTGAATCGATCACAACAAAAACTTAATGACAATTATGACAGTGCGACTAGTCAGCGATGTACAGTGAGACGGCTGTGCCCTACTGCGCTCTAAGAACACAGACACGCGCGGATCGTCATGAGGGTTTTGTTTTTTTTTCAACCCTAACGCTACCAAGAACCGCTACCAAGAACGCTACCCTAACGCTACTCTAATAAGAAAAAAAGGTTGTGAATAAATACGAATTTAAAAAAAATACATTGTGTAGAGCCTGTCCATGCGTTTTATTCTGGGATTTTTTTAAGGAGGGAAAATCATCGAATGACTTCTCCCGCCTGGGTGAGGCGGGAGAGACTCTTACTGACTAAAAACCACCCCGTTCCTTCTCCTGCACGTCGAGCCAGAGCCCCGATTACTTTATTCTGGGATAGGATTATAGAATAGCTTAATGTTTTGTTTTAAAAGTCTAAACGTAATACCTAGATGTTCTAGAAAAATATGTTACATCGTAGTATTGAATCTGTGGTACGACTTGTAACTTAACTTACTCATTAACAAACGTATAAACCTCTGCATATCCATCGTCGAATAAAAGCCTTTTGTTATGTTAACCCGACATATTTTATTCGTCATAATATTCAAATATATATGTTGAATAGGTTCCCATTAGAACATAATTAACACTTCTCATAGTGTTCATAGATAAAGCTTGGCTTTGTTCTAATTTTTAATGCATGGGTTAATGCATACTTTGTAGTAAGTAATACCTTTTTTTTTTTTTTTTTTTAAGGGGGGAAAATCATCGAATGACTGCTCCCGCCTGGGTGAGGCGGAAGGGAGTGTCAGACTCTTACTGACTAAAAACCACCCCGTTCCTTCTCCTGCACGTCGAGCCGGAGCCCCGGTTACCCGTTAGGTTCTCCGCGACTCCGAATCGGCATCGGCCCTATTGGGCCCCATCTGTGGTGGTCTGATGGCTCTTTGAGGCGCGCGCGGAACGCGACGCGCCGTACGCTCGGGTCTGTTTCTGGTCGGACGGGGAGCCACCCATGCTCGCCGTCCGCAGGCCCGCGCTTACGGTGGCCGGAGATCGTCCCGCGATCCCCGACGCCCGGTGTGTCCTTCGCGATGGCTGGGTCGCGAGGAGGCAGCGCTTCGCTGCCTCACGCGTCCCGCCTCCTCCTTAGCTAGCATGACTGCTTCGCAAAAGGAGGAGACGGCATCCCAGTCCCCCTCGCTCCGCATCATGGCCTGCACTAGGCCCGGACGCGAGAGGTCGCCATCGCCGATCACTTCCCTGAGGGCACGGCGGTGCTCAGCCCACGCAGGGCATTCCGCTACGGTGTGTTCCACCGTGTCCTCAGGGCGGTCCTCGCAGTGATGACACCCGGGCGTTTCCTCCCGCCCCATCAGACACAGGTACCTCCCGAAACTTCCATGTCCGGTGAGGACCTGCGTCAGGCGGTAGGTGAGGACGCCGTAGCGTCTCTCAAGCCACTCCTCAAAGAGGGGACTTACCGCTGCAATGGCAGCGAGCCCAGCCCTCGGTTGCGACAGTCGTTGCTGCCATTCCGCCATGAGATCGCGCCGGAGCTCATCCCGCCACGCACTTATCTGGCGCGGCAGCGGAGTTTCGCCCCGGCGACGTGCCTCCGCGCGCATGTTATACACGCGCGCGAGCACCTTCGCCTCCAGATCCCACGGCGGTAATCCGGCAAGGAGGTTCGCCGACTCCCCAGCGATCGTGCGGTATCCGCGGATCATTCGGATCGCCATGACCCTCTGTGACTTGAGCAGCGTCCGAGCAGGACGCCGCAACAAGTTCGGCGCCCAAACAGGGGCGCCGTAGAGGGCCATGGACCGCACGACCCCGGCAGTAAGTAATACCTACATAGGTAGATAATAAAGGGAATGGGTTAATGTGTTAATGGCCGCCCCATTAAATGAAACCTTCATTCCACTTTGTCTTATCAAGTAAAATATTAAGGTTTTTAGATTCATGTCATGCTCATGCTCGTACCTGACTTTAGTTTTAGTACTTGCATCTATGTATGCAAAAAATCTACTATAGTAATATTATTTATTAGTTACATAAGTACGTATATGAATTATGAATATTTAGAATAAATGCAGACTTGGCGTAGCCGAACCATGGTCGGTTGATCTTTTGGATAACCTCCTCAAGAGAAAATATCTATTTATACTTACCCTTACTAGTACTGAAATTGGCGGGTTTCCATTGACATACAATATGACATCACTCCGTCTTTAAGTATTCTTCAAGTCTACTACTTTTACTTAAAAGTCTTACTTAATTAAGGTAGGTACGTAAGCAGTTTAACTACATATATTATTAACTCAAGGAAAGGTTTCCTTTATAAATAAGGTCCTAATTAGATCTTAGTCCTAGTTTAACTGCTGCGTAAGTTTCAGGGACGATTTAAAACTTATTAAAATAGGGTATTGTAAGTTTGGCTTGAGTACCTAAACACACTTAATGCCTAACTACAAATAGGTAAGAAAGTCTATCAAAAACTAGTGTGGTGAAAATTATCTTGGCTGTACCTACCTATTTATGTTGCCTACTAGACTAGCAACTCTTATGCAATTTCACTCTCTGTTCTGTTCGGCTTCTGTTGGGTGTAGCGTAATGTTTTATTCTAGTAGGAATAGTGATGATTTGATTGATTAGTTGAAAACAATAGACAATTAGTAATTCCTATTTTCAACTTCCGTTTATAATCGAACCAGCAGCTCCGAAGTTTTTTTTTCAATGGAATTAGGAATAGGAGGCAAACGAGCAGACGGATCACCAGAGTATTATTAGCGCATTCCACCAAATAAATATTGCTATTTATTTTACAAGAAATCTTTTCAAGCGTACAATATAGAATGTATGCGCACGCAATAAGTAAAGTGTGGTACACCCACACTTTACTTTACATGTATGCACAAATACCACCTACACTGCGTGCAGTTCGTGAGATGTTAGCCAGTTATGAGCGCACCCGAATATTCGCAAGCTCAATAATGAACGCAGCCTTAAAGTGACAGTATTATACCTCGTGTGTTCATAAGTTTTGAGACAAATTAAAAGTTGCATATCTTTTCAAATAATAAACTTATATTTATAAAAACAATAACAAACATTAAGTAGATAGTAAGTAAAAATTAAATATAATTATTATTCAAAATGACCACCCCTGTTTTTAATACATGCCCTTAGACGATTTGGCCAGTCATCAATGGCGGCACAAATCTTTTCCAGAGGAATTCGCTTCGCTTCTCGGACAAGAGCTCGCTTAAGTGACTCCAAGTTTGGGTGGGACTTTCGGCAGGCTCTGAGCTCTAATTCGGTCCATAGAGAATAATCCAGCGGGTTGAGGTCGGGGCTGGAGGAGGGCCATTCGTTCGCCGCAATGAAGGCCGGCACATTTTCCTTCAGCCAAGCTTGGGTGGTTTTAGCCTTATGGGATGGCGCCGAGTTTTGCTGGAAAACCCAATACTTGTTATGGAATAGGGTATTAACTCGTCGAGTACCGGTTTTATAGACACAATTAAAGAACAATAGGTCGCGGTCACCGGTGACCGCTTGGTGTTTGACAGATTAAACAGGGGTTTCACAACAGTCTCTAGAATGTCACTTTGATAATTTTTGGCTTTCACCTTGACGCCTTGTTGGCAGAAATGAAGCTGAGTGACACCTTCATACGAAACTCCCCACCATACCATGACACTAGCCGGATGATGAGTACGCGAGACATTCCGTGCTGAAGGTGGGACATCCTTGCTACTTTTGGCATACACTTTGTTTTGTCGATTGAACTTTTCTTCGACGGTAAAGATTTTCTCGTCGGTGAAGAGTATCTTCCTCGCATCGTGTCTCCTAAGCAGTATTGGACAACGTTCGCGTCGCAATTGACGAAGGCGATCGTTTAAAAAGTGTACTTTTCTACGGCTATACGCCTTAACCTTGAGATCATATTTCAGTATTCTGTTGACTGAAACGCGCGAAATATTGGTCTGCAGAGCGAGTTTCTTCTGAGTGCGCACACCAAAACTTTTCAGTTCTCGGAAAATGTCCATAGGTTTTCTTCCCACCTTAAATAATGAAATGACGGTCGCACGTAATTCTTTTGTTCCCTCCATTACGAGAAAATTTAAATAAAATAATCCGAAATCATAGATATTATATAACATTCCAAATTCAAAATTAGAAAAAGAAATATACAGCAGCCAGTAATTTTTATTTTATTTTTATAAGCAAAAAGTTTGTCTCAAAACTTATGAACACATGAGGTAATTATGTCACCTTAGTGTCAATGTCAAACATTATTTCGTTCTAAAACTTACATTGCCCAAAGACAATGTGAAAACGAAATATTCATTTAAATGGCTATTCCATAAGCTATAAAAATGCTTAACATATAACATGATTACCTTTTAAGTTCTTATAATAATTTGTATCCTATAATTACAACATAGGAACTACGGACTAATTTTTTATCGGGGAATCACAGATTTGTTTACGAAAGTGCGACTTTTGAAGTTTGACATTTTCAATTGTCATTAATGTCAGATCATCAATCTTCGGCTATTTTCTTCTGTGAATTTATCCAAAGTGTATTCAAAATAACCTCGCATTTTAAGCAATATACGAGTTTAAATTGATATTTAAATGTCTGTAGATACAGAGAATGACTTTTCAGACTTTAAAGTTAGTATGATTAGTTCGAAAAATAGCGTAAACAACGTGATAAGGATATTTCATTTTGTACAATATGTTCTAGTTACCACCGATA